GGCAACTTAAAACCAAATATAAACCGAATTTAGGGGTTCGGACGTGGTGTTTTTTAATTGGGGAGTGCTTATTAATAGGTACTCGGGATTACTAGGACGCTACTAGAAACGGGATGCAGGATAGTTCACGCTTCTTCAAGGAAGCTGGGTGCACTGATGATTTGGCTTCTAGATGTTTAGGGAAACTGGTCGAAGCGTGATGGCCAGGCTTTACTTTGGAGCAGCACTGGTGCGCCAGGACCAGTGAGGAGGAGAGATGTTCGACACGCACTGTTAATTGAGCTGGGCACATTGCTTGATCAGGACCTATTTTGCATTATTTTGCACTCAACCTTAAATATCCTTAAATGCTTAGTGCAGCATGAATTTGTTTGATGAAAGTCTTGGCCAGTCTGATGCTTGTTTTTTTGCTGTTATTTGGATCAGAAAGCCTGAACTGGACACTGAGAATTTGTAGATTTTTTTGAGATATGTGAAGTCTCTACTGTTGGATTTGTTGAATTCGATCGCTGCGCAGCTTGCAAATTGACTCCAAAGCTCCATCATATATACTCATAACACATCATAATACGCCGAAACTGGGTAAATAATCCATGCAAATACTGTGTCTCCCAGGTACAAAGGCATGTCCCCAATGATGAAGGCGCCCACTTCAGTCATCATGTTGACGACCGAAGCCACGTCGTCCGAAGCTGCATTGGGTCCTTCACGTTGGGTCCAGAAGGTGCCGGTCTACACGATCCTGGGGACCTCTGTGGCCTTTGCTGGAGCACCCAGTGCGGTCGCCACCGAACCGGTCTGGGTGCTGGCGGCTCCAAACCGATTGGTTTCAGTAGCAAGCACCCCCAAACACGCACACACAGCGCCAGTTTAAACTTGGGAACGCTGGGAGATAAGAGCAGGTTTCGGGTTAGCCCAAAGCACTCACGTACGTCACAAGTCTTCTTGAGGTCATGGCAGCAGCTAGAAAGGAAAAAGAACTGGGACAGGCGGCCGATACACGTGGTTGACTGTTTGCAGGGAAAACAACAAAAAGGCTACCAGCAGTGACGCAATCCCTCGCCTTGGGGCTCCCAAAACACACCAGATCATCATGCACATGAAGTTAAGCCAACCTTTCAAACATACGGGTGGCCACATGGTCGGGTGGCCGGTGGCCGTGTGGCCCGGTGGCCGGGTGGGTGGAGGTGGTGGGAGCACCGTAGCCGCAAAACCTGCTCCTCACTCCGAAACCTTTGTGCAAGGCAAGACTTTGGGACATCACCACATCACATGAAATCTCCACTTCAAAAGATTGGTAAACGTCCGATCTTCTGAAGGAAAAGCTAAAAGCGCGGACCACCAAAACAGTAGAACCCTTTCAAGCCTGCGCCGAAAAATGGGCAAGTTCCAGAACTCCCGCAGTGCCAACCTCAAGATGCGCAGGATACCAACGGCACCACAATTCTGCAGTGCCACACTCTGCAAGGATTGTACACCCCTGTGCTACCTTGGTGTGGCGCAACTCCAATCCTTGAACTTGTAAGAAACACTTGTAGCCAGTGGGCCAGGTTGTGCAAGCAATCTCTTGTGCCATGCATCACAGCGGCCAGGCCATAGAATCCACATGATCCCTATATAGATAGATAGAAAGATAGATACTGTAGATAGATAGAGATATCCATATCTGTAAGAAAGACGGTATGTTTCTGCTGCTTTGGTTGACCGAGGAAGGCAAATTGTCAGAGCTGGAACCGGGACCACCTTGGACTTTTATCTTCGGCCGAGGCCCTCACCTTCTCAGTGGTGGATTTGGTGAACTATGTGCTGGGCTTCTTGCAGGTTGGGATCGGTATCCATGGACGAAAACGATCACATGATTATACATAGAAACTATATTCACATGATTAAATGCAAGTAATTTGATCTAATTTGATCATCCCTATTACACGGGTTTTAGACCATCGTTTCATCTTGAATGCTGCGGGGCATTACTCACAGGGATGCCTTGAGACCTTTCTATAGAAGACACTGTTGGGAAACTTTGGGATTGTAGATCTTGAATGTTATTCCGGGAAACCATTTAATAGACAGAAAGGTGGATTTAAGTTAATATTAATTCCACTGTAGAAGCTGAGATGTTCTTTGCGCTATTTACCACTCTATGTGCCTGCGCACTTTATAGTAGACTGCTGAAATTCCCTTTGTATGTGGTTTCACATTTTATAGTGTCCATGGGCCTTCATGTTCATTGATTTGATAGCGTTTTTTGTCTTGACACATGTTTGATTTATTTCTCTACGAAACAACTGACAAACCACCCAAACCAACACCCACAGGGGACACACATACATATTGTATAGTTTAATATACATACATTACGAAAGCCAGCCGATAGGCTAGGCTGGAGTTGTCGATGGGCGAACAAAATGAGTATTAGGGTGTGTGGGGTGTGTGGTTGCATAGGGGAACAATTTGGGTAGGGCAAACCCAGAGTCTGGTGGGGAGAGCGCAAAAACGAGGCAGTGAAAATATATGGTTTTTGGGGTGTTGTGATACAAGTGATGTAATTGACGCCGAAGAGTGCATCATTAGCATTATTAGGGGTCAAGATGCTATTTAAGCCGTCTTTCGACCAGGGGTGGAAGTTCATGTCGAGGACAGGAAATAGGGGAACGTGACAGGAAAAGAGGTCGGAAATTTTCTAGGAAAGTGAGATGTGCGTCTCTCAACCCTCTGCTTTCCTTTGGCTAATATGAGTAGAAGGGACTGCAAGAAACGATGTGACCCGTTGAGGACAGGAGAGGGAACAGAATGCAGTCAGCAACTGGGGGTGCCCCTTTTTAATGGTGTAGAGGTTTGCTGACCACATGCAGAAGGGCACCCCATATGGGGTGGGAGTTCATGTGGAGGACAGGCATAGGCCCCCGACCTATGTATTCTCCTTTCGATTTCTACCACCAGTCGGCGTGGCTGCAATGTTGACTTCACCCATAACAAAGGTACTCTATGCCCGACGTTAGACAATCACTTGATCTTGGCAGTAACATCGGTCCGCTCTTGGCAGCACGCCGAGTTTATGAGTCCACAAGCGGTGCCCCTCAGTTCCTTAGGGGTGCCCTGTTTCGGCTTAAAAACGCTCTTGAACCAAAGGAAAAGGGCACCCCCCCAACCTATGTATTCTGCCTTCTATTTCCAACAGCAGTAGAGGAGACGTCACGACTTCCCTCGATAACAACGGCAATCCTTCCCCGAAGTTAAGCAATCACATGATCTTGGCAGTAAGCTTTCATCGGTCCACTCTTAGCAGCACGCCGAGTTTATGAGTCCATCTACAAGACAAGAGAAACAAACAGCAGGCAAGCGCCCCTCAGTTACTTAGGAGTGCCTTTTTAATATTGAAAACGCCCTTTGAACCAAAAGAAAGGGGGCACTCCGCCCCCCCCCTGTGAATGAGAGCCTGTCATGTCGGCCCTTACTGCGAGACTTCCCACCTCTGCCTTCTATTTCCCCATGCCTGACAGCGGTTCCACAGCGCTGTCAACTTCACCCCCATAACCAGATTGAATCATATTGATGTCTTCTTACGGAGGCTGGCTTTCGTCCCCTCCCTTCTCAGGTACATTTAAGTGTTATGTATATATGTATCTTTCTCTGTATATATATATACTGTATACATTTGTATATAACGTAATGTGGCAACACGATGCAGTTGTTCATGCCTTGTCATGTCAATGTGCTCACACCGATGTCCTGTCGCAATGTCTCCAGTTGGGTCGTCTTGTTCTTAATAGCAAAAATGTTCCTAGTAGTATGGCCAGCTGCCCCTAGTATCGATGCCAGGAGCCCCTAGTAGCGTCCTTGCTCCTAGTAGTAAGGTGTGGGCTGTGGTCCGCTTGATTCAGCAGATCAGACACTTGCACAATTGTGTCGGACTGGAGTCCTTTGTACTGTGACGACGAGTGAGCAACGTATTGATATGGTATGTAAGGTATGTAATTGAACTGTCCATTTTGCAGTTTGTGGCGAAGCAGATCGAGTTGGTATAAGGGAAACATGGTGCGGGCACGTGGGACTGTTGAGTTTGAAGAGCTGTACACATGGTGAAACCCTGTCCTGCATGGCAACCGATTGAACATTAGCGATATGCACAGTCTCCTGGTTGTTTTGCTGCTCAACAATGAAAACCGTGAGCTCAAGTGTTCCATCAGTGACAGACATGAGTATATTAAACAAGGGTTTCTTTGTTCAAGGAGTTCCTTTACAAAAGGGAATTCCTCAAAGTGAAAGAACACTTCATCGTGCCTGCTGCGTAAATCATGTGCCGTGCAAGTAGAATATCAGTGGGAGGAAAACTAGGCGAAATACCGGCGGAGGATCATTTTCGAGAACCAGTACTGTATATGTATTATGTGTATATTATGTATATATATATTATATATTAAAAAACACAGCTCTAGCAATATTGCTTAATTAAGTGTCCACTTGAATGGCTGATTGCGCCTGATTTGGAAGATCGTCCTCATATCTTTACATTTCAATCACTTGGCCCTTTTGTTGCCTTGGAAGAGCCTTCTTCGCAGACTTGAGTGACTTGAGAGATGGTTTCGCATGGAAAAAGGCACGGGTCAGAGATAAGCGAGTTCCTTGCCGATGTGCTAACTGCATGGGACATACCCAGTCTTGAAGCCGGCTGCTTTTCAGATTCCCTGAAACGTGATGTTGATATTGTGCTGTCACAGATCGCGTCTTCAACAGAAGCACGGCAGGAAGGAGTGCTGAAAGTCCTGCAGACTTTGGTGGGGCGTCGGCTTCTAATTTGCCCAGAAGCTTCCCCGATTCCAATCTACAAATACCATGAGCATGACCTGGTGCCTGTTGCTGAAAAAGTGCCTGCGCCATACGAGGTGCACTTTGTTTCTATAGAGCTCGTGGGCTCACAGGGACAGATGACGCAAGTCCCAGACTCTGATTTGGATGCTGCAGCAGTCCTGGAATTGGTGGGGTCTGGAAATATTGCGGACATAAGGAGGAGTTCTTTCAACATGGCCACGAAGAATTGCGAAAGGCCCTGATGGCTTGGCTGCAAGAAACTCCTAATGTTCAAGTGCATAGCGAACACAAACTGATTGACAAGTCTCGGGTTGCGTGCACTATTGCTGGCATGGAGGTGGACGTGTTGCTGGCCCTTGCTCCTCAACATCTAAGTGCTGATGACGTCCGTATGCTAAAGCCTGGCGTGTGGGTCAAGTCATATAGTTTGAAGCTGGTCCCAAGAATAGGCATTGTGTGCAGGTAGTAATGGCGTGCATAGAGGGCGGACCGGACCAGCCACACCCTTCCCCTTATAACTGTTCTTGAGGGATATTCTTGTTTAGACGGCCTAGTGGTCAGGAAAATGACAAGTAAACACATGTAAACGCTACATGATGATGTAGTTGTGCGTTGTGACTTAGGACGTGTTTCTAGGTTCCTTCCACACGCAGTGCAACCCTTGAGCCCAGGAACTTGCAGAAAACTCGCTGGGTAGCAACTCAAGAACCCATAGTCCGGGATGCCACCAGGCTTCTCAAGCTTTGGGCACGGACAGTGTCTGATGCAGAAGCAAACGAAGATGAAGAGGAACTAGTCAAAATCAACACCTATGCGCTCACACTGCTACTGGCTGCCTTACATCGGTCCTGCTTGGGAGTCTCTGCCCTGGAACTTTGCACTCGGGTGTGGCGTGTTTTATCCTCACTGCGCTTTGACCTCTTGGCGGTGGTCAGCTTGATGCAGACTTCTTTGCCAGGCTCTCACGTGGCCCACGCTTTCACCACGAATTGGCGATGTTTCTCAACTTTTCGGGCAACGAGCTTTTTGGATTGATGGTTGAAGACATCGTCCAGCCAGACCGTTTCTACTCCTTGTGTGAATCACTACCCACTCCAAAACTTGCCACTTATGCAGCCTCTGCTCTGCTGCGACTTTCCTCAGCAACATGGGGGCAAGTCATTGCTCAAGACATGCCAGCTAATGTGCCAGAAGTGCTAGACAGATTCTCCTCTTTCATGAAGATGCATTGGTCTTTCTTTCGCGGCCGGGTAGCAACATGTCCAGAAGGTCACTCACTCACAGTGGGCACTTTGGGAATGAATTTGATTTGTGACGAGTGCGACATGCAGTGCGATGGGATGCACATGCAGGGATGCCGAAAATGCCACTTTGATCTTTGTCCAGGCTGTGCCACTGCTGTCCGCATGATGTGCAGCCAATTCCCAGTGCCATTGTCCCTGGAGAGCTTCTTTAGAGTTGGTCGATGAGGAAGAATACGCATTGATGGAATTCTTCCTCATCGCAGCATTTTCGATTAGAAAGCTGGTGCAAGCCAGTGCGATGAATGCCATTGCACTTAAAGTCTTGTCCAGCAGGAATCCGTTGGGCCCATCAATCAAGCGTGGAGGATTGAACAGCGGATGTGCTGAGAACTGGATACTCGCTTAGCTTCACGTCAGTATTTTTTGAATTGTTGTGTGCACCATACGCCTTCTCAGACATTGACTTCCACTAATTGCAACAGAACACAAAATCACGTTGCTGTTTGTCAATTACCCTTTGTAGATTAACATGGTTTCCATGTTGTACTTAGGAGCTTTGCCGGTCAGCTGCCACACTCCTGTGTGTTTGAGTTTGTGGGAACGTTGCTTTTAGCTGGTTTTGGAAAAAGAGTCTCTGCGTCCTTGCAGATTCTGGATGGGAAGCAGAGCAGGATTGGGTTGTTGTCATGACTATTCATCGCAAGCGATCCCAACATATTTACAGTAATGTGCGTTCATGCATTCGATGTTCAGGGTATCTCTTGCGGCAACCATGAGGATGCTGTAGAGGCAACCTTATTGAGGTAGATGTGCATGTTCATGCTAACCTTGCAAGATTGTTTGTATACAGTGTAGTTTGTACGCTCCACATGCGCCCAACAGTGTGTGCCCAGCGCGTGTCTACTTTTGACACTCTTTCAGCACTTGTATACCGTATTATGCCATATTTGCACCATAAAGATTTGGGCTGCGATGTTGTGCACACGAGCATGCCAGGTTTCTGTTGCCAAACCCTTTGTAGAGTCCGCTGCACAGGCCCCGGGTCTTGCTGATGTTGGGAATTAATTCAAGACGATAACATGCTGCCGGACAGTCGTGGACATGTTCAGTGGCAAAACGAGACATGTCCATTCTGAATCTATCCGGAGGCCTATTCACTCCTATTTATTCCCGTAGAACAAACATCCTTAGTGTTGATCCAGTCTTGTGGTGTTGAGATGTAAAGACTTTTCATGTGGGCTGTTGGTGTGTGCTTCTCGCTTTTCAGTGCTTCCGAGTTCCGGTGTTCGGGTTCAAAGCGTTTGACTCCGGCTGTTGGAGAGGTCTATATGGTCTTAGCTTGTGCTTTGATCATGGGTGGGCTTTTCGGGCTCATCTTTGGAGTGATGGATGTGGAGGCCGTCGGCACCGGTGGGGCGTGGCGAAGTGTGGACTGGGGGATGAGTGGGGGGATGAGCGTGGCAAGTGTGGGTGCCGAGATCATCCCCAGACCACACTTGCTTGTGATTTTGTTTTTCATCCTCTTCTTCTCACTTCCTTTGCCCTTTGTTTACATCATGTTTTTTTATTCAGATCTTTGCCTTTTACAAGTACAAGTACTGCCTGTGTTTTTTTGTTGAAAGATTGAGACTTGAGCTTGATGTTGACAGGATGAGGTGAGCTATCAGATCCGATTAGCCCTCCTCCGAGAGGATTGGGTCTTACATGCTTCACATGACTCCAATGATGGGAGGCCGTAGATTATTATTTTAGGGAGCGTAAGCCCTAAAGATGAGGTAGGTAGGAAGTAACTAGAGGTGGCTAGTAGAAGCTAGGGAGTCGCTAGTAGCTTAAGTAGCTACTACCTACTGGAGGCAGGATAGCTCACGCTTTTTCAAGGAAGCTCCCCACGCCGCCCTAAAGGTGCCGGGGGGATAGATGTTTAGGGGAGTTTTAGTCTTCTCACATGTTGTGTTCAGCCGAGAGGAGAGATATTGCTACCCGGTCGGCGCTCTTCTGGGAGGTCTTGCAACTCTGCTGAAAAATGTTAAGTCAAGACAAAGGCTAAGATGGCTAAGATGGTTTATGGAAACATATGTTTGATCAAGTCTCGCTCCAACCAATTTGATTTTCGCTTCAAGGTTTTTGTGTTTAGACCACAGAAGGGACTTAGCCTTGAGACTCGAAGATTTTAGGAAGCGACATTTTGCCGGTCAGACATCCAAGCTATAGTACCTTTGGAGTCGCGCCAGGATTTACAAGGTGCCCCTTTCTGTGTTTCATGGGCTTACAATACTTGTATTGAGATAGGTCGAGATGTGCACTAGCTCATCAATTTGAGGTGGGATTCTTCAATGAGTACATCAGAGACCAAGAGGAGTCTTTGACTGTCGGGAAGGAATAGGGCCTCGGAAGGAGACAGGAGATGACAATTCCTCAGCGCCGGTGGTCCACTGTTTTTGGATCATCAGCAGAGCCGGGCCAGAGACCATCTAATGGATTCTAATGGCATCAGCGAGCTTTTAGGCAATTTTGGGCCACAGGGGAAGGTTGCCAGGTGAACTATGGCCTCAAAGGACAACAATCTGACGATATGGAGAGGAGAAAGACAGAAACGCATGCAGATAGTTCCTTCCATCAACATGTTTTTCATGTTGGCATCCCACTCCCAAACTGTTCCAAACCCTAGTAGTTTTGGAAACACCTGCTGCTCAGGAACATCCATTTAGGGTTACTTGTCATTATATACTTGCATGTGCGTCTCGCAAGCTCGACGAATTGCTCAAAAAGAAAGAATCACGTCGCGCAAAGAAGGTTCATTGCAAGTCGCACAACAGGAACAACACATAACAAAACCAGATCGAACGCAGATGTTTGAAGCCCCATGTGACAAGCGGACCAGCTTCAAGGTTCGACTTCCAACACGTACCATGTTTGCCCGTCAGCCAACCATCAGCGACAGGGACTTGCCTTCTATATTCCGTTAAACAATCAGAATAATGACAACATGGCCATATTTAGATCAAAGCTCTGGAATCTTCCAAGTGAACGAAGCCGACCACCATCGTTTGGGGGGATTGTTTCGACACACATCCAGCAGATGTCCACTTTGCAAGACACTCGTAGAAGTTCTTCAAGTCAAGCTGCTCATGGGCACTGCTTGCACAGTTTGCCGTCGTGAGGGAGACTGTGCCGGCCAATGTTGGAGCCTTTGGATCACACCGCCACGTTCTGCGTAATCGTTTGGTGCGTTGCCACGTCATGCAGAAGGGGAGTAGAACACACAAGTGTCACTTTCATTCACTTTCAATCACGAAGGTAGAGTACTCTGCCGAGTAATTAAGGAGATCATGTCATTCACTTTCCTTTCTGTATCCTTTGGCTTGGCCAACTGCGTTTTGAGGCCAGCTTGATTCCTTTCCACAGCCGACCTTCTTCCAGAGCCACACCCAGCATCGCCTCGAATTCCTGTCGAAGGTTGGGGACGCCCGGCTTTGGGATTCGTGCCAAAGGTTCCATTTCTTGCATTCAAGTTTTTCAAGTGGGAAAATACATTCTGGTGGGAATGTTGCTGTCCAAGTCCATTCATCATGTGACCTGATACTGTCAGACATGATCTTTAAAGTTCTTGCAGGCCACCCTTGAACACCAGGCACTTTGCGGGTATCATTAGACTGGGAAGATCCCCAGACCAATCCGTTTTCGTCGTTCCTTTTCGGTGTAACACACAAACATCTGCTGGGTTATATATACTGAGATGCAGGTAAAGCTATTTCAGCGGCTCCCAGAAGATCAGCACAACCTTTTGGCCTCGGCATCTTTGGCTGAACAGAGCACCTCACGGCCCAGACTCCTTCTGCCATCTTTGCACGATAAACGACTGCCAAGGGGCTAGCTGCACTAGCAGTGGACATATGAAATGTGTTTTTTCTAAAAAGAAGCTGCTCACCTTGTGGTGAGGTGTCTAAATTATTTGCACGGAGCCAGACATGAGTATTCTAAGGCTTGTGAGGAGATCACTTACGAGGATGGTGAGGTGGGCAGACACCAACACGTAAAGTTGCTTTTGATGGAAAGTCAGGCAATCTTTGTTCCGGCTCGTTTCTGCGCATACTGGTAGCTTCTTGTTACTAGTGAGGTGCCTTGCTACTAGCTTCTTGTTATTCACAAAGATTTGAGACTGCTACTGATCGACTTGGCCTAATCCGGAGCCTCCACAAACTGCGATTGAAAACACATGTTCTACGGTGGGCATGATTTTCTACGCTGTTTTTTAATTCCTTACAGTTCAGAGGTTTATTGAGGTGTTTCAGCATATTTCAAGACAGAGATTGAAAGTTCTTCAGCAAGCACGCAGCAACAACTTTGCGTGCTGCAGCAACCTTGTCATGATCCATCTCTCAATCTACGAGAATAACTTCATGCAGGCTATTCTTGCGTTTTCCTGTGTTTTTAGTTTGGGTATAACTCTGTCCACGTTGCACCACCGAGTTTGGTCACGTTCATGTTGCTAGCTATAGTCTCCCTTTTCTGCACGGCCATGCACGGCGGAGCCAGCTGTTGAAGCTGCTTGCCAGGTGATTATCCGGCAAGGGGACCAAGGCCATGAGTTCTTCATCATCAAAGATGGTGAAGCCGAAGTCTTCATTTCCCAGAAGAAGCAGGCGCGGAGGGGTCGAGGTTCGGAAGGGCGCGTGGCGTTGGGGTCCAACTTGCGACCCTTGGGTCGATAGTTTGGCCAATCGTTTTTCTGCTCGGGAGGACAAAGGTTGTGTTGTTTTTATCCAGGAGCTTGGAGCAACTTGTGGCAACCCTTGCAAAGTGTAGCAGATCCATTGATCCATGCTCACTTCCAACTGAATCGCGCTTGCGGAGTTTCTGCTACGACCTACATCATACAAGTAGAACTACAAGTTTACCGGGGTGGAAGATGGTGGAAGCTTCTCCACTTCTCCACCAGAATTTTACTGTCAACTGTCAACTACGAACAACAAGAGTCTAAAGGGGCGTGTACTGTAGTAGTCACATAGAAAGCTCCGAACTGCACTCTGGCTTGGTGATTTTGGGGTTTGCATGATCTCCATTGCTCCTTTTGTCAAGGCCACCCTCAAGGTGGGTGACCACTTTGGTGAGAATGCTCTTTTGCGTGACGAGCCCGGTCGCCAAGTGGCTTGTTTCTGCATGACCACTCAGACCGGTCGTCAATAAAACGTTGCATTGTGACATTCGCACAGACTGGCCTGGGGCCTGGTCGTGTGACAAATCTTGTGGTAGAAGTTTGAATCAAGCGAACTGAATATAATAAGAGTCACGACTGACAATGCAGGGAAGCATGGTTGTCCACAAAGGCCTGCATGGTCTACCGCGGAAAAATGTGTCCATTCATATTCCGCAACCAACTGAATTGTTTTCGCCCCAACTGGATCGATATGTTGAATGCCATGCTTGTGGATCAGACCATCCGATGCCGTGCTTGCATTTGCGACCATCAAGGCCCCGCACTGCGACCATCAAGGCTGCTGGCAGATTAAAGGTGCGGTTACGTGAATCATTGAATCCCCACTCAGCGGATGGTGGACCTGACTAGTTTGGATAAAGTTGAGAGTTTGGATAATGTGTTTGGATGAATAATTGAATATTATGAATGTAGACACAGTAACTGGATGTAACTGGTACCCACTGTTTCCTTGGTCACAAGTCAGCGGAAACAATCTTGCCTTCAATAAGATGGAGCAATAGATTGCATAGAGTCGGAAAGCTCCGCTAGTATTGAGGCTGGAAATCATGAATTCTGGTATCCAGTTTACAAGTAGCATTGATGTACATGGCATCGCGGGTTTGGTGCAAGGTGTTAGTTACATTTTCTTGTGTGAGGGTGTGGACAGGAGGTTAATTAGTGTACTACGAGGTGACCCACAACTACCCACAGTCGAAGGTAGCTCGCATTAATAAGTGAGCATATCTTTTCCATTCACACAACCATCCTTATTGGCTTGGCGAAGGTTGTCCACTGACATGCTTGGCAAAGGAAACCGAAACTAATTCGCCCACTCGGAACGATTGCCTGCGACTCGCCTGCGACGATTCTTTTTCGCCGAAGGCCTTGAAGATCACCCGGGCGCAGTTCGTAGAGCTGGGGCTCAGGCCAGTGTGAACCGTGATCTAGAACTTCATGGGCAATTGATGGCAATTGAAATCATTACATCTTAAATCAAGAGCTAGAAGTTGTTTCTGGCTGTTGCTTCCTTTTGTTTGCATTTGCATGCTCTTCATTTTTCGTCACTGTACTCAACCGACCTTCCCTGCGACAGCGTTGTAGCATTTTTTAGCCAACGATTTGACGGAAGGAACAGATGGATACTTGAGCGTGATTCTGTCAACAAGATTGGGTCACTGCGCCAAATTGGGACAGGGACTGAGGGATCAGTCACGAGTCGACTAAGGGAAAAGTTGGACTTCCCGCAGCGCAAAGCCGTCGGTGGGATGGTTCACAACATCGAGGTGAAGGAGCTGGATTCTTCAAGCTGGTTAGCTGAAAGCAAGAAGGGGACCACCACGGCTGGTTGCATCGTTTCAGCATGTTACACCATGTTACACAGCTTCAAAACGAATCAGAACTCAGTAACATATTCAACTCGTCCACACTGTTCTTCTCAGATCAGTCGATTTGGGTGTGCCCTGTGCGGCTGAATGCTGCTCAAGGAGCCAACGCCAAAGACCGAGAGTGATAGAATCTGGTCTGGAATGAATCAGAATGAGATCGGCTGACAAGAACCTTCTCCAACAAGACATCATACAATCCTGTCATTTCCTCCCGGATTGTTGGATGCTCCGGGATATCAAGTGCAATTGACTTGCTGAAGCCTGACAAGCTTGGTTTTGACTACATTGCTAGCTAAGTGGGCTCGCCGCTTGCCAGGTTGTAATCTTGCCAGCTGGTGTGCTCACCATTGGGCACTTTAAGCTGGGCATATGTACTCGTACCGTCTCGTACCAACATCCTAAGGTAGGTAGGTGTTGACATAGCTAGGTAGCTAAGTTTGCACGGATTCAATATTAAGCAGGCTAAAAGTTTGCTACATGTGACAGAGTTTTCCAGCTTGTTGTTATGATCGTTTGACATTGAAACCGAGGAATATTGATTTCCAACGCGTTAAAAGCCAACGAGAATTTGCAAAGCAGCTTGGCCAATGAATCTGTGTTCAAGAGGTTTAATAGGTAGTACATGTACCATCTAGACTGGCGAGCGGTCACATTGAACCTTGGTTATTGGTGCGCAAGTCGATCAAACAAGAATCCAGAGTGAGGCAAACACAAAGTCCTTTGATGCTGGAAAGCAGAGGATTGTGTTTTGGTGGGCACAATATGGCTCATGAG